TGTAGTATGATGACAAAATTAAGAAAATAGTTGAGATGAGGATGTTAAGTTGTGGGACTTTTGCATACAAGCTGATTGTCTTCTAGAATACAATACACCAGATATTACAGAGTAATTTTTGTAGATGTGGCAATATACCTGGACAGCAGGATCAAGGAAATAATTCGAATAAAAAAAATATAGAAATATAATGATCAAAATATGTAAATTATTGCAAAGGCACTGCTTTATTTATTGGTGTATTAAGTGGAATACAAGCAAATTAAATATATTTTTACTTGTATTAAATATTTCACCTGTATTAACTGTATATGTGCTTCCCTACTTTTGTTCATTATAATTACGTTATATGGATCACTCCTAGCTTCCTGACTGGCATCTGAATTTACAAAAATATAAGTCAAAGATGTGAGTAATTATTTTTAATTTTTGTACTGTTACTCCTTGATTCTGAAATAATTATAGTAATACACTCTTAATATTCTCAAGAAACAAAGTCTGCCTATCTCAGGTCCTTGGAAAGGACTGAACAGATGGATGAAAATGCCAAATCCGGTCTAAATATCTGGTTGATTGTGTGACTAACCATAATAAGAAAAGGCAAACAACAATTCAGACATGGAATTTGATATATTTTGTGGCAGCAGTGTTTGGTGTGGCCAGCAATATGATCATTTCATCTCATTCTTTTTTTGAGTAACTGACAAGCATAAATTGAGAGAGATTTTTTTTGCAGCCTATGTTGCTTGTCCAAATATATTCTGGTGTAAAATTATTTCAGGCATTGTTAGGCTTCTTATATGGACCAAAGCTGGTAATAGAGGTTTCACAGGCAGAGATTCAAAACTGATCATCTAGTTTTATTACAGACCCTAGAAATGTTGTTGATAGAGAACCAACACTGTAAAATGCAAACCATATATAAACCAAAAGCAAAGTTTAAATCACACTTTTATTTTCTGGATCTGTGACCCTCAAGCTGTTGGCACCTATGCATTGGAATAGTAATAGTGAAGTCTAGTCTCAGGATAATTGATTCTGACTACCTGATGGAGTCCTTGCAACAGGAACATTGGCATTTTATGACCCAGAACTACAGTTTTCCTCAATGGGATTTTTGGATTATTAATGTTTAAATTCTATGATGACTACATAGTTATTCAGTTCAAATCTCTATATAACAATTGGCTGAGAGGGATCACCTGAAAACAGGGACTGACATCCAAGAAGCTAAGCACAGATTGGGAGTATATTTCTGCCTAATCAATAAGTAGACATTTTCTGATTTGGATAATAAGATTGTATCAGGGATTTTACAAAATAACAATATTTGTGATTGATAGCATCCTATTAATTAGCTCAATTTCATATGTAGACCAGCCTTCTCATGATTAAAGCCTTTCAGCCTTTCAATTTTCTTAAATATTAGCCAGATAATAACCCTGATCCAAGAAGAACATGGTTGGTTGTTCAGATGTGGATCACATATTTAGACTTATACCTGTGTAGGCAGAAAGAGTATAGGGAGAGAGAAGGAAATCTCATTTATGATCTATATATCTGTGCTAGGTGCATCTGTAAAAGCCATAGAATTATGAGATTGTAGTGTGCATAATGAGACAAATTATGCAATGTGTCAGTTGCACATGCAACTGAAGCAAATTACAAAACTTACATAACTGATGCATGCAGTATCACATGTTGCTCTTTGTAACCTTCCATGGTATAAACTATGTGTAGGTCGCTTTGCTCATTTACATTGTGAATTTGTGAGCAAGTAGGAAAAGTTTTTTTTTTTAAAAAAATTGTGCTATCCAGCAAATAAGGAATAGGGATCCAAAAAAAGAACAGTGACCAGCTCTTTGGATGACTGACTTTATTGTTGAACTTCTCTTCCTTTTCATTTAATTATATGCTATCAAATAATTGTCTACTCTTAGCAATCACAGATAGATTTTCTCTGTGACAATATGACTCTAACCTGATCTTTTAAGTCTTTTGATGGGGCACCTGCTGCCATTATAACTGAATCCATCCTCCTTGTTGCTGGTCATCCTCTTCTCTTTCCTTCCATCTTTCTCAGCATTAGAGTGTTTTCTAGGGATCTAGGTCTTTGCATAATGTGTAGGATAATTTAAGCCTTGTCATTTGTGCCTTGAGTGAGAACTCTAGATTGATTTGTTTGATGATCATTTCTTTGAGGGGCCCTTGGTGCTCTCTGAGCTTGGTTATTTTCTTGCAGAAGGTTCATTATTCAAACTAGGTAACATCATCATATCACTTCTTGGCTGTCCATGGCTTTCTGAGGAATCTTCTCCAGCATCAAAGTTCAAAAGTGTCAATATTCTTATCTGCTGCTTCAGAGTCCAACTTTCATCTTCTATGTCACAGGGAATACCATGCATGATCATGATCTTTGTACAGATGATTCCTAACATTTGAATATCTTTTCCAAACCTTTCACATCTATCAAATGTTAGTCTGAGGCATATTTCTTACTGCTTCTTCCTTTTTCTGCTGATGGTTGGTCATAAAAGGTACCCACCATTTCAGTCTCTTCTGTCTGTTCTTAGCCTGTTTATTTCATGTCCTGTAGTTTAAAATAGCAGAGAAGATACTTTTTCAAATATCTTCTCTTGTCACGGCTTAACCATGCTGAGTTTTCGTTGATCATTTGATCACATTCATTGTCCTTCTCTGAACTTGCTCTAATTTGTCTGAATTTCTTCCCAAAACATATCACCCAGAAACGGAAACAATATATCCAAAAGTGTATCCCACTGATGAAGATTTTGGTTCTATCCCCCTATGGTGCAATGGAAAGAATAATAGAGAAGTAGAATGGATGAATGTTAGGGGGGGGGAAACCCCTTTTTAGTCGTAAGAGAGAATTACTGAAAAGATTGGGGTGGAGGACTTTCCATCTTTTGCTGCACTTGTTCTAAAAACAGTTACTTCTTCAACTATATGGCCAGGAAGCAGTAGTCTTTTACCCATGGCCCAGCTGATGATTTATCATTTAGGCCTACAGGAAAATAGATAAGCTTTCTGGGTTCTCCATAGTGGGCATTATAGATAGGGGCTGAAAAGCTTCTAAATTTGGGGGGTAGGCCAATAACCTACCTGCCTTCAAGCAAACTCTAAAAACTTGGTCCTTTCCCAGGCTTTGAGACCTGGGATATTTGAAGGGAATGTTTGTTTGTTTCCCTGGAGTGACTGTTTTTCTTTTTATATGGTGTTGCTTTCCTTTTGGTTTCTCTTAATCATGAACCTGCCCAAAGTTGTTTTGAAATTGGGCAACCTAGAATAGATGATTAAATGAGCACACAAATACACATTTGGCATTTGCTCTCACATAATGGATACCTTGTGAAAGGTCTTTCCAATACTAAATTACTCTTTTACCAAAACACACACTGGTGAGATTCTTTCTCCTTAAATTCTCAGGAATGTCATCCCATTTTTCCTTTATCTTTTTTTGGGGGGAGGGGGGGAGTTCAGGCTTTATTTTTATTTTCTAAGAACATTTGAGGCTATAGGTGATATCCAGAGCTATTCAAACTTAACTCTGCACTTTTACTTTTACCATAAATTAAACAAATGCAAGGATAATAAACTAAATTTAGTGACATTTTAGAGCTTCAGAGAGTGCAAGGCCCTAAATATGCCTTCTGCAAATTGGTGCTTTTGGGTATGGCTAGGCACTACAAACATAGGGGCACAAAGATGGAGATCACCCTTATGCTGCTTCCTTTCTCAGTTCTGGCTGATCTATGCCTGTTCTCTGGGAAGTCAGTGTGAACAATGATGAAAGCTTTGCAAGCTTGGTGGTGCCATGGAGGACACTACATTTCTTGTGCTGCTGTTAAGAGCCACTAGCCAAGGCAGTTGCAATATGTTGGAGTGGCTGGTTAGGTTGCCAAGAGAACAAATCTTTCTATTTAGGATCTCCTGTGCCCTGGGCATTGATTAACTATTTGATTGCATCATATATATTTTGTTGCACTGATGTAGCAGATACAGATTACACAGTTAGATCTCACTGGAACTTCTGTAAGTAAATATTCAGAACTGATTAACATAGTTTACGTAATATTCCTTAAATACTTTGTAGCACCTTTTGCATTTCCATTAAGTAGTTTCTCTTCACAATCTTCCAGTGTAGAAAAAAAAAAGCAATGCTAATTTGTCATGCAAGTACAAAAGCAACACATGCTAACACATTCCACCAGTCAATGCATTTAATTAAGGAACCGATATGGTTGAGATATCCTGCTTAAGCCAAGTCATAGTCAAGATCAGATAGATTGATTTTACTCTCTCATGCCTGTTTATAGGAGAAGTGGGATTTCACTGAGTCCACGCTGGCGATTCTGGGCATGAAACTGGTTTTCATAACCTACTTTAGATCTGAGGTACCTGATCTTGTGTGGAGGACATTTGAACTTGTGACTTTGAAACCTCATGCGCTACTGGGGCAAAGGCAGTGAGTGGTGTCTGCTGTCATGGGAACTATATCCATGTTATTGTTTTTTTTTTTAAAAAAAAAAGCCTTTAAAAATCTCTCTGTGAAATTTGGCCTAGGGCAAGAGAAGGAACAAATCCTGCAACTATTGGGAAGGAAGGATTCGTCTCTTCTGGGAAGGGCGGGTGCAAGGGTCTTTTCTCCCTGGCCTGTCTATCCATTTTTACCCCGGCGCTTGGTCCTTTTTGTCACCCACCGCCACCCTCAGCTCTCCAGGGATGTTTGTCTGCGCGTGTGGGGGTGTGACATTTGCCTCTGTGGGCGGGTTGGGTTGCAATCCTGCCGCATCCTAAGCCGCCCTTTAGTCTCCCCGCGTACGTATCTATGTATGTCTCCCACGTAGGAAAAGAGCCAGACCCAGGGGGGGTGGGGGAGTCTGTCTGTCTGCCAGCCAAGTGCTGCTCCCTGGTGCTCAGAGGCTGCTCCATCTCCAACTCCTCTCTCTCTCTCTCTCTCATTCATTTCGCCGGCTAACATGAGAGATCATGGCCGCCTTCGGGCTCCTGAGCTATGAGCATAGACCTCTCAAACGGTCCCGTTTGGGGCCGCCCGACGTCTATCCTCAAGACCCCAAGCAGAAGGAGGTAAGCTCGGGGCTTCGCTCGTGCCCGTCGCACACACCTGGTCCGGGGGAGAAGTTTGCCTGGCGACCACCTGAGAGGGGGAAGGGAAAGCAGGCTAGGTGGGTTGAAGGAGAAGGAGAAGGAGGAGGAGGAGGAGGAGGAGGAGGCGCCGCCTGCCAGCTTCAGAGCGGAGTTCCTCGCAAGGCTGTTGCGGACCCTGAGAGATTTCGTAGCGTTGAGTTATGGGGGGGAGTGATATGCTTGCGCGCCGGGCCCTGACGCACTCCGGGGCTGTGTATTAGATACCCGCCCCCTCCTCTTCGTCTCTTCTCGGTGCACTTCCTCCCCCCCCAAACTTTTGAAAGACATCGGCTAGAAAAGAAAAGGGCGCTTCCCCTCCTCCGCAACCCTGACTTGCGTTTTACGCACCTAAACAAGCCCCGGGCTAGTCTTGAACCCCGGGTGACTGAGGCCACCCCTCGCCCTAGCAGGTGGAAACAGCTTGTTTTTCCCTTCCCCCGATTCCCGAGCTTTTCTTAAACGGTGCTTTTCTGGAAGACGTCGCCTATGGACCAGTGACTTGACATTTGATCACATGGAGCTTTCTTCTCTTGGTCACTAGTCCCCCCAAACCAGATGACTTTCAAACCACTGGTACTTTGCATGTATTGTTCCAGCTAGTGGCACTGGGTTGTAACCATGACGTTATGGCCCTGTGTAATTAACATAATTGCTGGGGAGGGGGGGGGAAAGGAAGGTTGTTATAACGTTCAGTACAATTTATCAAGGGATTCCTTAACTCACCTGCTACTCAATTGCCATTAATTTCTGTCTCTGTAGGTTAAAGTTGCAAGTTACTAAGAAACTGATAAATCAAGGGCTCCTTTAATTGCATTACAACCTTTATGTTGGAGGCCTTAGTTGTCTGGCTGTAATGTTGGCAGACTGTTTCTTGCTTCATTATGACCATTCCCATAAAAAAACTATGTTTGGCCCACAGGCAGAACTATAGCTAACCATAGTTAATTAGTCAACGCTGTCAGTATTCATGCATGCTAAGCCAAAAGAAGCAAGCAACAATTATGTCTTATCCTGATGGTCTGGTTCAGTCAACATGCTCCAACATGTTTTGGCTGGTTGCTTAATCATAGTTTACACTTCATCATATTGGGTGAATCCAAGTAAAATCTGTTTTAATACTTTTTAGAAATGGATATTATACTAGAACCTTGTGCTATTGGAGCAACTCTTGTGTAGTTTGAAACTCTCATAATTCATATAGGAAATAGTTGTAACAATAAATGTATATACAGGGGCACTATAAAGAAGTACTTTTGGTGCCTTCATTTCAGTGTTGATTCCTGGTGACTGCCTGGAAAGGCCTCTGCAATTTCCTTGGCGGTGTTTTTCACAAGTGGTTTGTCATTGCCTCCTTCCTTAGGACTATGCTGGAAATAAGCTAAGTACTGGGTCTAGAGGAGGAGTCTCCAATCTTTGCAACTTTACGACTTGTGGACTTCAATTCCCAGAATTCCTCAGCCAGCATGGTCTAGAGAGGTTAATCCAAAAGGAAAAGGAAAAGTGTGCAGAACTCTAGTCAGCAGCTGATTTAAGAATGGGGTATATAATATATTTACCTTTACAGTGAGGTTTATGTTATGGTAAATTGCATCTACTTTTTAATTTTAAAATATTTAAATTACAATAGTAATTTAAACTAAATTCAGAGAGAGGAAGAAAATAGAAAAAAAAGAATAAAAAGAGCAAAGAAAGAAAAAGAAAAGTAAGATAAAGAAGGAAAATTTAGCATTTGCTAAGATAGGCTGGAAAGTACTGTGAGCTGTAGAGAAATCTTGATTCTATTTTATAGTTCAAGTTTTCCAAAACACTTTAGAATTATAATACTGAAGATCTTTCTTCATCTCTCCAGACTTTCTGTTATTAAAAATACCCACATGGAATGTGAAAAAATAAGTTATTTTATTTTATTTTTCAGATTTTTAATAACGTTTGTCTCATATTATGTAGGAAAAATCAACTGTTCCAACACCTATCAATTTATAGAACAATTTTGTGTACTATATAATATGTCACCTTATCAGTATATTGTTTATTACTGTAGCGGGGACTGCCTGAGAGTGCTGGCAGGAGCTTGACTGGGAAGGAAAAGATTGGGACAGCTGCAGTTGGCTTTGGGTGTGGCTGGTGTGAGTGGAAGGAGGAAGGATAGAAAAGGAAAGGAAAGGAGAAGGCCGGGGTGGTTGGAGTTGAGAAGAGAAGGTCTGGAAGCTTATTTTATTTTTCTATCAAGGGTATTTTAAATAGAGGCTAGGTAGAGTGAAGTTTTATTGCTTCCTCCGTGGGAGGATATTTGAAACGGAGGCAAGCGAGAGTGTGGAGAAAAGCTGGCTGGGGTTTCTAGCCTCGGTTTTTAATAATAAAGAGTAAAGGGAGGGGGGTGGTTTTGAATCCTGAGACCTGAGGAGGAATTCTAGAGAAGAAGCACCAGGAGGAGAGAGACTGGTGCTGCCAACTGTTGCTGCCAACTGTTGTTGTGGACTTTGGAGGCATCTGGACTGTGGCCATCGCTGCTGGCATAGGTNACTACCATTTTAAAAACGTAAACTAGGAATTGTTCTCTGAGTATATCTTAGGAAATTGATATTTGTACTGCTGGGGTCTGCATTGTAATGAATCTCACTCCTATCCTTTAATTTGATGTACATATGTATGTACCATATTTTCATGCCATTTATCTTTTTAAAATAGATTTCAGAGTGATTTAAAGAAATACAACTTACAATCTTTGGTATGGAAATATGTTTCATGTTTTGATTATGCCTGAAATAATAATAATCATTGACCTAGCATCTCTCTTTGTAGATATTTCAATTCAGCTGTGGTTTTATCGGCTTGAATTCCCTTGATTCCTATTTAATACACTCTCTATGTATTGATGATGTAAATATAAACTTCCAGAATTCCAAATTAATCTGATGTAATACATTAGACTTGAGTTTGCAAACAATTTTAAGATATAATGTGGTTTGTTTGGTTTGGCTTAGATTATCAAGTAAATTTAGCCATTGTGGTTATTAACCATTGACTAGCTTAATGTGATGCTTAAGCCTAACCAATAGTTTTATCTTCAGCAAAGTATGATTAAGTTAAGTATCTCATAATTGTCTAGATGCATGCATTACACAATTCAGAACTGAACAAAGCACATTATAGCTTAATAAATTGCCTGGATTTAGCCAATATATGCAAAATTTAATAACCAAAGTATCTAAAACACTGGAAGTTTTTAAGAAGAGACTGGACAGCCACTTGTCTGAAATGGTAGGGTTTCCTGTCTGAGCAAGGGGTTGGACTAGATTACCTCCAAGTTCCCTTCTATTATTATTATTATTATTATTATTATTATTATTATTATTATTATTATTATTATTATTATTATTATTATTACTATTATTATTACTTTTGTGCCTTGAGCATACACTGTATATATAACATATCCTATGACCCTTTCTAATATGCTGAACTGGTGTGTTAATTTATTGTAGTGATTTCCTAGAACAAGAAAAGTTTTGTATATATTTTTTTGGTCTGTTTTTCACCAATAGATTCCATTGATGCATAGCAATAAATAAAATTACATATATAGTTATGCAATATTATAAATTAAAGTATTAACATTTAATATAGTTTGTGGAGGGCCAGTTCTTCATGCAGTATATACACATTTGACTGACCTTGCCACTTTCTCTTTTTCTTTATTTTTGCATAAAAACATGCTATTAAAATAGTACTGAAGTAAACTGCAATTGTAAAAGCTTCCCTGAAGAATCTCTTAGTCATAATGTAAAAGGGGTCCAACTCTTGAAACTGCTGTATTGGTTGAAATTGATTCTAGTCTCTTGAAAAGGTTGCATGTGCTTAATGTGATCTTTACTTACTAGGGTGGTCCTAAAACTTGGGACAAAGTTTGAATTTTGACCTAATGGAGAACAATTTGGACAAAATTTACTTATCAAAGATAAGGCAGTTGGATCCATTTTGATTCAAAAACTTCTAGAAAACCCTAGGACAATTTCACCAGGTCAACTTCACCAACAAAGTTTTGTTCAAAAAGGAAAACACATTGCTACCTAAATTGCAATCTTGCTTGGAAGATTTTGGAGGAGGTGTCACATGAAGTAGGAATAGGAGAGCTGTCATAGTGAAAGAGGAATGTCATCCTTATAAAGATTACCAGCCTGCTTTATCTCTCTAGAGATGTGGAATGAATAGATCTTTATGAGCATTTGATGATTTGTAGCCTTGGGCTAAATAGGCATGTGTGAACAGACTTCTAGATAAATTCTAGCCTGTTGACTGCCTAGGAGGGAGGGGGCTGTTTTTGCACTATTGTATTTGACCCTCCAAGTGAATATGGTAGTCTTTGCACAGTTATGTAATTATGTATAACTAAGGTTGGTGAAACCATTTTAGACCTTATTGTACACCTTTTAGTATTTTATCTGAAAGTTCCTGTGAATATTTATGAATATGATGGAATTATATTGGGGAAGTGTTTGGGCTTGAACCACACAGAAAAAGTCAGATGGGTGCATCCTAGCAAGTTCTTATACAAAGTCTATATTAGTTTAATGATGGATAGTTCTACCTTTCATCCAATAGATAAAGCTTTCTGACTGATACACCTTTAAAGGAGAATATTTGTAGCTCAGGGTTGAAATGAGGGGTCCTTGGTGCTCTCTGAGCTTGGCTATTTTCTTGCAGATGTTTCATTATACAAACTAGGTAATGTAATCAGTGCTAGTCATGTGTTAGTAGCACTGGTGTGTTACCTATTTTAGGTACCCCAATGTGTACCACAGAATGTTACATAGAATGTGTACAGTGCTTGTTTGTCTGGCTTTATGTAGCTTCATACAATCATCAGGGGAAATAGTCATAATATAAAGCATACATATTACGGGCTATACTATTTCTCTTATCTCAGTCCTGTCTAGTCC